TTTTTTTTTTTTTTTTTGGTATGGGGATTATACTTGTGAAGCAGGCAGTGGAGCCACTGAGCTAAATCCCCCGTCTCCAAACATTTAAGGTAAGAAGAAAAACAAAGTAACAGCCAAGAAAAACAATGAATGAATTTAGGATCCTTTTTAGATTCCTCAGTGTAAATTCTGTCATTTTGGGGTCTGCTAGCAGATCGAATCAGGGTCATGCACGCTGGACAAGTGTCCTACCACTCACTGAGCTACACCCTCAGTCCAAACTCTTACTCCTTTAGAGAAAGGAAGCGAAGGATCTGGCCGTCCTGAACATAGTCCCTTGGTTTTTGCCAGCCACAGCGTCCTTCCCAGCTCTCCTGAATCAGACCATTTGGTGTCTCTTTATGGCTCTGGAAAGACCTTCTCAGAAAACCACCAGAGATTTAAAAAAAATGACTAGCTCATGTTTAAGAAAGAGACAAATTAATTTTAATGGGGTATTCTGTCCTTCTTCCCTGCCTCGGTAATGCATCCTGCATTACTCTCACACCGCCTAAACCAGAAGCCGCCCTGACCCCAGGATGAGCTAGAGTGCTAGAATTCACCTCAGCCTGAGTGCACAGTGAGCGCCACATGACTTCTGGCACTACCCCGAAAACAGGGGTTCATCAAAACCGCTCCTAGCCTTCACCATTTACCTGGAACAGGGTGGCCCCAAATGTGTGGTAACGAGGCGAGCCAATCTGTGACAGAGCAAGAGCCAGACAGACCCAGGGCTCCGGGGAGCAGGTCAGCACAGGCTTCCCTCTCGGACTCCCGCTTCTGGGCAGCTGTACGGAGGGAGGGGTGGGCCAGCTGGGAAAGGACTTGAGGGTCCACTTCCTGGCAATGAAGACGTGCCGTTCTGTGGACAAATCCACCAGCACACCCTCAAGCAATCTTCACCCTACCAACCTTAGCAAGATAAACTGTTAACTACAGAGGCAGCAAGAAACTATCTGCCTGCCAAAGCTGTGGCCAGGGGCTTCCAAGAGCAGCTCGTTCTTTCCCAGCCCCGATGGCAGGCAGGGAAGTTCCTTTGAGGAAATCAAACGTACTCTATCACAACTCAGTGGTCCCGGACTGCTGCCCACCTGATAAAGACGGCACGGAGGTGAACTGAAAACGAAAACACCCTAACTGTAGAGCCCAAGGCAGGGGGGTAGGCTGGTTGGTTGTTGGTTCTTTTGTTTGTTGGTTTATTCCTTATTTTCTTGTCATTCAAAAATAAAATGGTGCTATTTATTACAAACTCAACATACTCGCTTATTTTTATGCTACTGAGGGTTGAACCCAGGGCCTCAGCCCTGAGCTTCATTGCCAGCACACACACCCCTTTCTTTGGTACCAGGGCTCAAACTCAGGACCTTGCACTTGTGACGCAGACACGGTGCCACTGAGCTAAATCGCAAGCCTACTTTTTAAAAAAATGTTACTTTGAGACAGGGTCTTGCAAAGTGTCTTAGGCTGAGCCTGAATCTTCAACCCTCCCGCCTCACTCAGCCTCTAAGTGCTGGGATTACAGCCATGTGTCACCACGTCTGGCTTTTTTTTAAAGCGGGAAATCTCACTAACACCCACCAGGTGGGAGTGCTGTGAAAACGAGATGCCACACGGGCAGTATGCAGTTTACATGGGAGCTGCTTATCCTACTTCAACTCTGGCTACTTCCTATCAGCTTGGTTGGTGCTGGCCCTCAACGGCCTCCAGCCCCACAGAACGTCTGTAGGAAGCCGACCAGGGAACGCCTTTGGGCAACATAGGCCCTGGACAGGCTGCCAGCGCTGTCTCTCCCGGCTGCGCACTACCGGCCGGGTGACGGGCCCTCCAGGTCTTTGTGCCCTTCCCTAACAGTGAGAGGACACTCGTGCAGTGCTCGTCAACTGCTGGCTCCTTACTCACTCTGCCTTCAGCACCTAACACGTCCGCCACACTGTCCTTGTTGTGTGTCCATCTTTTCTAACTCATGAATCTTGAAAAATCCTTGCCTTAACTCCTGCTCCATTTCATCCCTGCCTCTGACGCCCACTGCATACCACCCAATCACTACAAACAAATCGCGTGTGTGTTTAGACTGTTCTCTACTGACCAAAATCGTGCTTCATCTTGTCTGAATCGCTGATTGCTTTGTGCATACTTCTCTCCCCTACTGTACTGTACATTTGTGGGTCACATATTTTATACTTCGAGCCTCCTACCATACAGTGCACACTAAGTAGTGCATAAAGGTGCCACTGTTTACTGATCTATAGCCCTTTACTTTTTTTTTTTGAGACAGGGTCTTGACGTGTAGTTCAGGCAAGGCCTGAACTCCCAAAGACGCTCCTGCCTCAGCCTTCTGAGCTCTGGGACTACATGCACGTACCACCATGCCCAGCACCTTTTCTTTTCTTTGGGTACTGGCGATTGAACTCGGACCCTTGCGAGGCAGGTGGCGAAACCACTGAGACAAATCCCCAGCCCCACCTTTTCTATTCTTAAGGAACCCTGAGAGACCAATTCTGGGAATTTCTGGGAAATACTCCCAGAGAACTTGGCTGAAAGCTTCATATACAATATGCTTTCTGATTAAGATTCTGCTTAGATTAAGAAAAAAAGGAAGCCCCAATTTCTCTCTGGGACCCAAGTTTTACATTTTCAGTGCACCCTAGTCAACAGCCTTCTTGGAAATTATCTCTAATAGGAAGTTCTAAGTGAATGATCCCAGAGTCCACAGAAAACATTAACAAGCCACGAGCTCAACAACGTCAACAAGCGCCTCAGAAGCCTTCCACAGGCCAGTCTTTTCAAAGGAAGCGGCAACTGGTAGGACCCTAATTAAGACTGGCAGAAAATATCAGGCCACCACGTCCTGTGGAAAACCATCACAGAGATGGCAAAGGCACCAGCCCATAAGCCAGGTGTGGTAGCATACACCTATAATCCCAGCTCCTAAGAGGCTGCGTCAGGAGAATCCCCAGTAAAAGCCAGCCTGGGAAACTTAGCAAGACCTTATCTCAAAATGAAAACACTAAGAAGGACTGGAATGTACTTCAGTGGCAGGGTGCTTGCCTAGCATGTCTGAGGCGCTTGGCTCCCTCTTAAGCACTCAAAACAACAGAAACAGGCAGCAGCACCTAAAGGAGAAACCAGGCTAACGTGCACAGTGCCCTGGCCAGGATCAGCAACCGCTCTGCTTGGCCAGACAGCTCAGGTGAGCAGATCCACTTCCCGTCCACAAAGCAGCCAGGCTATTGATGTCACGTCCATCACCTTTCTTCTGCCCACTCAACTTAGGTGCCTTACTTTTCCATTCTAACAATCACCACTAAGAACACTCACATGCTCTGGAGGGTTACATTTACGAAAGGAAAAAACTGGACAGGAGCTTAGAAGAAAATCTTTTATTTATTAGTGTTGAGATGTGAAGTCTTTCCTCAATGCAGGCATTTGCTGCCTTCCCAATTTACCTCTCTCATATCCTGTACAACTAACTGCACAAAATACTCTGTAATAACCACCCAACAGCCAGCCAACCCTTCACCCTCTTGGTGTTACTAAATGAACACCCTGTCACGCCCTGTGCAGACGACTCACCTCACCAGGTTTCTGCAGTGGTAACTTGATCCAGGCTATACACTAACAGCCGATCACAAAAGCACCATTCTTTTATCGGGGGGGACAGGGTCTCACCATGTAGTTGAGACTGACCTGGAACTCACTATGTAGCCCAGGCTGGTCTTGAACTCAGAGATCCTCCTGCCTCAGCCTCCCGAGTGCTGGGATTACAGGTGTGCGCCACTACGCCCGGCTTAAAAGCACCATTCTTACAACAGAGCCACTTGCCCTTTGAATAAGCAATTTCCCCTGAAAAATTGAGTGCTGACGCCTGCCTGAAGCCAAGACAGGCTTAGGGTTGATGTGATCACAAAGGCAGGCTGTCGGCTCCACTGCGTGGCACCGCTCTTCAGGGAAGGTGCCCAGGGAGGCTCCCAGGACAGCAGCCAACCCAAGTACCTCACCTGCCCTCAGCATCAGGGCTTCACTGCAGCCACCAAAGCCACCAACTGGGAACCACCGCAGCTCAGCGCAGTGGAGAGAGGGACAGAGCCAGTACTTGAACACTAGAAAAGCACCTCAACACTCAACACTTAAAATCACCGTTTGTTATTTTTTTTGGTACCGGGGGATGAGCTCGGGTCCTTGCCCTTGCAAGGCAGGCAACCGCACCACTGAGCTAATTTGCAGACCCAAAATCACCGTTAACAACCAACCCTCATTATTCTCATACCACCTGAGCGGCGTGGGCTGTGGCTGAGGAAGGGTGTGTGCCCGACAGAAGAGAAGAGATGCAAACAGGGCAGATGAAGGGAAGCCCAACAACAGTACTACTTGGGATGGAGTAACTGAGTTTTGCCTTTTTACTTAGAAAGAACCTCCCACAAACAAAACAAAAAACCCAAAGCAGGAACCAATTCCAAATGTGTGTTGTTGCTCTGATCTTTGTGTACATTTACACTAGAAGCATAGCTAGTGACATCTTGATACTATCATTTAATGCTAAAGGTACCTGGTCTTGCAACACCCAAACCAAAGCAGGGAGACGGGAGTCAACTGCAAGTGTGGACATAGCGACACCCACAGGCACGGGTGCAGGAGGAAGGCTTTTGTGCTGTTGCTGTTGGTGGGAGAGCTAAGCAGTCTTAGATGTGCCTCTGGGAGCGGCGGTCTAGGCGTCTACTTTGCCATGAAGGGTAGCACAGATCCCAAGGCCCACCACCTATCCCTCGTCCTCTTCTCCGAGGGCACCTACCTTACTGTAAGTCACTACTGATAAGTTGTTTGCGTGACTGCTGGGGGACAGATTTACAGAGTTCTGTGAGAGTCTATCCTGATCTTGCTCGGTTTGGTCAGGAGCAGGAGCCCATGTGTTTTTGCTGATCGAGTCGAACCCGGAACCCCCAGGGTCTTTTAAGTTGTTTTCATCTGATTGTCGGTTCTTTTGGGGAGAGGCAAACGGGTTGAAGTTTCCTTCTACCTTGCGATGCGGCTGTGTGTTGAACTCCGTTTCAAAAGATGACAGCTGCTGTGTTACTCCTAAAAGTCCACCCACCTCCACACTGAGAATCACCCAGATGACATCTGAAATGAAAAGGAGATACTCATCAACGCGGGCACCTGAGGCCACGGTGGCCTCACCATTCACAACACCGAATCCAAGGGAAGAAAGCACCTAGATGATTTTTAAAAAGCTCACTGGCAAAGTTGCCAAGAGCACTTTTCTTTCTTTTTTGGCGGGGGGGGGGGTTGAGACAGGGGCTCACTACATAGTTGAGACTGATCTGGAACTCACTATGTAGTCCAAGCTGGTCTTGAACCCACAGCGATCCTCCTGCCTCAGCCTCCCGAGTGATGTAGTTGAGATTGACCTGGAACTCACTATATAGCCCAGGCTGGTCTCGAACTCATAGAGATCCTCCTGCCCCAGCCTCCTGAGTGCTGGGATTACAGGCGTGTATCACCATGCCCGGCCTAAGAGCATTTTGCTTTTTTTGGTACGGGGATTGAACTTGAGACCTTGTGTGCAAGGCAGGTGGTGGAAACTTTGAGCTAAATACCCGGCCCAACAGCATTTTTATTGTATGCATTTCTACACATTTGGTAATGTCAATTGCAAATTCTGATACAGATTCTCTAGTGAAATCTGTGAAATTCTATTTGTAAAAAGTTTCCAGTTAATTCTGATGCACAGATATATTTGGATATCATTACTCCAAAGAATAATGATAGAAACCTAAAAGCAACTGTTTCCAGAACTTACAGTTCTTTGTGGATTTTGCTTTATTTTACATATGTTTAACTCAGAAAATATGGGAAAGGCCTAATTCTCAAGTCAAAAATGATTAACATGGGCTGGGGATTTAGCTCAGTGGTTCTGCCACCTACCTCTCAAGGGCAAGGTCCCGAGTTAGATCCCCAGTACCCCACCCCAAAAAGATTAACATTACTAGAATTACAATTTATGAGTACCCCTTCCCCTCTCTGTTTTGGTAGGAATTTAGCGGGACCACACTGGGACAACAAAGAATAAAAGAGGGAGCTAGTAATAATTATACCAAGAAGGCCGGGGATTTAGCTCAGTGGCACCGTGACTGCCTTGCAAGTGCAAGGTCTTGAGCTCGATCCCCGGTACCAAATAAATTAAAAAAAAAAAAAATTCCCCACAAAGTATCTGGTCACAGTTGTATTCCTGACTGCCTCAAATGCCAAAACCAAGGGTTCAAACAGAAAAAAAAAAAAAAAAGTGTCTTTCTCTGATGTTCAGCCCCTTACTTTAGCGAATACTGGTGTCTACATTCCTGAAGTTTTTCAAAGATTAAGCAACAGAAGGGCCAAGAAGCTTCTAAGTGGGTGAATTCTGGAGGAAACAAATGCAAAGCTGGACATGATGGCACACACCTGTAATCCCAGCACTCAGGAGGCTGAGACAGGAGGACTTCCGTGAGTTCGAGTCCAGCCTGGGCTACATAATGCATTCAAAGTCGGCCTGAACTACATAGTGAGACCCTGTCAAAAAAACCCCGTCAAAACAAAAACCCCCAAGAAACAAATGTGAAAAACTATCTAGGCTGCTAAATAGATGTTGAAAGACAAATACATTTTCCATCAATTTAGCTCCCTGGACATATAGATAATATGTAAGTCTAGAACATATCACTAAAAAGGACACAAAGGAAACAGAGAAATGGCCTCTTAGGCTGTGTTCACACTCCATTTTTCATTACTTTTTTTTGGTATTGTTTTGGTACCGAGGATCAAACTCAGGACCCTGGGCTTGCAAGGCACACATGCAGACACTGAGCTACATCCCCGGCCCCACTCTCCATTTTTTAATTTGGGCTTGGTATCAGAAGAAGGCATCTCAGAATGCTATACAGCAGTACAACTCACTCAGTGCTTTCGGAGCTGCACTGAGAATGGCTAACGCCAGGCTCTCGCCAGCAGAGAAGCAATGACATCTGCTGTTCACTTCTGGAATTAGCAACCACTGGATGAATCAGCCAACAGCCATCTACTCCAGATGTACTTATCATTAAAGAAAATGTGCATATTCGTGAAAACTGGTACACAGACATGTTCAAACTCTAATCTGGCACTGTACACAGGGCTTACGTGTGCCAGGAGTGGTGGGTATGAGGACTTATGTTCAATGCTCAAAGAGTTAAAACTCCTAAACCATCATGACAGGGTTCACAGAACAATCCAGGGCAGGGAGAACAGGACACACATACACACACACGACACTCCTGCCTCTCACCCTAGCTTTCAAGCAGAGGCAGCATTCCATCACTGTACTGTTCATTTCCCCACATGGACATACCCTGTCTTATAGTATGCTACTCCTACTTGTTTGTCTCCCATCAGGCTGTTTTAAAAATCTTTTTCTAGCCGGGCATGGTGGTGCACGCCTGTAATCCCAGCACTCGGGAGGCTGAGGCAGGAGGATCACTGTGAGTTTGAGAACAGCCTGAGCTACATAGTGAGTTCCAGGTCAGTCTCAACTACATAGTGAGACCCTGTCTCAACACCCCCCCCCAAAAAAAACCAACCCCTCCCCCCAAAAAATCCTTTTCTAGGGGCCAGGATTTAGCTCAGTGGTTCCATTGCCTGCCATGCAAATGCAAGGTCCCAAGTTCGATTCACACCAAAAAACCCAAAAATCCTTTTCTAAGTATATGATAGTTCAGTACGCTTAGCTATGGGTCATATGCTTTGTTCTCTTAGATCATGAAACAAAATGCTGATGAAACGGACCATCTCCTGAAATCCTGACATTACCAGGGACTAATGACATTTCTTCCCTGGCTTTGAGACTAAAAGCTTCTTACATAACTCACTCAGTCTTGTCACATTTAAGCCAACTCTCTTGGCCTTAGTTGTTGCTCTGATTCTACACGGAAGCTGTGAAAGGAAAGTCATTTGAAAGGCCAGTTATTTATAAACTTCCTTTTGTAGAAATACATAATAAATTACTAAAAAAGGACATAGCCAGACTACCAGAAGTACAGGGTAAATAAAAGCACTACTCTTTACTTGGAGCCCATACCCATAAACTTAACAAATCACACTGATGTACAAAAACATCTTGGATCATGGTAAGAAGGCTTCATAAATCTGCATATATCTAAAAGTTAACATCCTGAAGGGAGGACAGGGGTATGGGGAAAAAATGAGAACCAAGATCTGTCGCGTAAAGGTACAAGATCCCAATGATAAATGCAACTGTACTGTATACCTAAAACGTACCAATAAACTCAATAAAAAAGTTAACGACCTAAGTAAAATCATAGAATAATTAGCATAAACATCACCAACTTGTACAGTAAAACAGAACTGGTAAGAATCAGCATAACAGTCTTAACTAGCACATTTGCTTCTCTTGAAGATAAGGCTAACGATTCTGAAAACGTCTATATATGTGTACGGGGCAGAACAAAGAAGGGAATGGACGACAGACAGCGAGAGGCTTCGCGTGGTAGGGGACAAGTGAGAAAAGAAGGCTTTCTTTTCTAAGTTCAACCCTGTGGAGCTGGGTGTAATCCCAGCACAATGGAGGCTGAGGCAAGGGGATCACTCCAGTTCTAGGCCAGCCTTGGCTAGTTCAAGGGAAGCCCTGTCTCTAAAACACAATACAGTAAAACAAAACTGCCATAAAATGGTGCTGGGAAAACCAGATGGCTACATATAAATGAATGAAGTTGAGTTCCTATCTCATATCATTTACAAAAACTGACTCTAAATGGATCAAAGACCTAAATCTAAGAGCTAAAATTCCAAGATGCTTAAGGAGAAAACAAAAACAAAAGCAAGGGACAGAGGAAAAGCTTCATAACACTGGATTTGACAATTATTTTGGGGGGGCCGGGGATTTAGCTCAGCGGTTCAGTGGCCTGCCTTGCAAGCGCAAGGACCCGAGTTGGATCCCCGGTACCGGGAAAAAAAAAAAAAACAACAACAAGAAGACAATTTATTTTTTTGGATACACCACCAAAAAGAAATGAAAATAAACTGAACATTAACGTTTAGAACTTTTGGGCCAGGGATTTAGCTCAGTGGTTCCACCACCTGCCTTGCAAGCACAAGGTCCCAAGTTTGAATCCAGATGCCAAAAAATAACAAACATTTAGAACTTCTGTACATCAAATGACACAGTCAACAGAGTGAAAAGATGCCCTATGGAATGAAAAAAAAATCTGCAAAACACGTATCTGATAAGGATTGACAGCCAGATTATAAAATAACTTCTGCAATAACAAAATATCTGATTTTAAAAGAACTTGAATAGGTATTCGATAAAGATACACAAATGGCTACTAAGCGCATGAAAAGATCTCATCAGAGAAATGTGAATTCAAACCAGTGAGATACCACTCACCCAATGTGGTGGCCACTACCCAAAACCACAAGTGTTGGTGAGGATGTGGGGATGGCAGAGCCCTCAGACAGTGCTGATGGAAATGTAAACTGCAGTCACTGCAGAAAACAGTATGATTCTCTGAAAAATAGTCTAGATATTTATCTAGAATAGAAAACAGGGTCTCATGGAAGTTTCATAGCAACATCATTCACAACAGCCAAAGTAGAAGCAACCCAAATGCTCACTGAAAGATGAAGGGGTAAAGATAAAATACTTACACACGATGGAATACACTAAAGCTGAAAAAGAAAATTGTACAGGGGATGGGAATTTAGCACAGTGGTCCCACAACTGCCTCGCAAGCTCAAGGTCTTGAGTTCGATCCCCGGTACTGTGAGAGGGGGAAAAAAAATTATACATACCAGTATATGGATAAAACTTGAGGACACAGGATGCTAAAAGCAAGAGCGCTGCTGTACACTGATAATGGGCACAAGAGAAAGAAATCAGTAAAACAATTCTTAAAAACAGCTTAAACAAATTAAAAACCTATGGATCAACTTAACCAAAAAGGTGAAAGACCTCTATAATGAAAGGTACCGAACATCGAAGAAAGAAATCGAGGACACCAGAAGATGGGAAAAGACCTCCCTTGCTCATGGATCAGCCAAATTAATAATATTTAACCATCCGGATGTATGTAGTTTTCAATCTTTACTTTAAT